GACGAGGACTGGCAGGTGGTGAGGAGCAATGCGGACGCTTTTATTGCCTCTCTGGGTGGTGGAGGTGACGGTGGCGGTGCTGTACCGCAGATTGAGTCTTCTCCTCCTCCAGCCTCCACATCTACTCCTGCGCCCGCGAGCAAAAAACCTCCAATCGGTCCTGCTGTCCGCCTTCTCCTCTCTTCCTACGGCATCTCGTCTGATCAGATAACCGGCACCGGGCCCAATGGAATTGTTCTCAAGGAGTTCGTGTTCCTCATTGTTAATCTCTCATCATTTGCAATGATGACTGGTTTATTTTTTCCTCTAGAGACGTTATGGCTTATGTAAAAAGCAAAGGCTTACAGAAAATTCCCCAGGAAGCGTCGAAAATTCCGAGTAAGGGAGCAGTAACTGGATCGGCCACTGCTCCGAGCCGCGTATCTGTGGTTTCGACCTCCAGCTATGTTGACATCCCCGTCAGCGAAATGAGCGAATTCAGTGCGAAACGGTTAATCGAATCAAAGACTACAATTCCTCACGCCTACACCAGGATCACTTTTAGCGCCGATCGGCTCTTCGCTCTGCAGAAAGCCATCAATAGGGCTCAGCTTGTCGACTTTAAGATCTCCATCAACGACCTTATTCTCAAGGCCTGTGCTTATGCTTTGCGGGTAGGCCTTTATCGTTTATTCCGTCATCGATCGCGGTGTTTAAATTGCCCTGTTCCATCGGTTGTTTGTGAGTGGTGTTACCTTTCATATTTTAGCTGCTCCTTACTGTCTTTGACTTTCACTGCCAGTATTTTGTGTTGCAAGAGTATTCTTGCAACTCATTTCGATTTCTTACATGGGAAGGCTAGGACACTAAAGTGAAGGATAATTTTGCTAGGCCCTTGCGGATCTGTCAGTTTTATGATTTCAACTGGTTAGATTTTTCGTGGTCCGTTCTACCTATGTTACGCTGTACTACCTTGTATCTTCATTGAATGCATGTTTATGCGCGTTTTGCTAGTTCCACGTGCAAATTGACTTGTCCACAGCGCATGAATGACGCATGC